AACCCTGGCTCTGCTGTGTGGCCTTGAGCAACTGAGATGGCCTCTCTGAGCTGAACATGCAGAATCTGCCTCTCTCATTTGTTTTGTTTTTTTTTTTGGGCTTTTGTTTAACTTTATTTTTTTTTTTGTCTTTTTCTTTTTTGGTACAGGGGATCGAACCCAGGACGTTGCACTTGCTAGGCAAGCGCTTTTGCCACTGAGCTACATCCCAGCCCTTTTTTCCTTTTGTCTTATGTGGTGCTGGGGAATAGAACCCAGGGCCTCATGCATGCAAGGCAAGTGCTCTACCACTGAGCCACCTTCCCAACCCATGCCTCTCTCATTTGTAAGACAACAGTCAAACCCATCTGGCAGGATTGCTGTCCAGACTCAGTCACTGCCTGGCACATAGGACTAGCAGAGGGCTAGGAATTTTCTATTTTCCCCTCTATCCATCATGTCCTTGTGTATGCTATGGGCTATTATGGCTCTAACTAGCCAGCTGCCTATAGGGCTGTATGATACTGTTTGTTTACATGTAATAGAGGTTTTGTAGATATTTGTGAAAAGAGCATTGAACTTCTTGCTGCTCTGAGAGTTCAGGGAAGACCCCTGTTCACTCTCTCTACCCCTCTTCCCCCCAGCCCTCGAAGGTTCTTTCTACCCTCACCCTGGCCCCTGTCTGCTCCAGTCCCACTGACCTGCTTTCCAGTTCATGACAGCAGCAGGAACGTCATCTTTGCCTGGTACTAGGCTGGCTTTTGAGTTCTTAACCTGTGCTGCCAGCCAGCAAGGGTGGCTGGGGTGGCACTCTGTTCTCTCTTCTGTGTCAGCCACACCCTGCTTGGCTATGCAGCAGCAGCAGCGCCCCAGGACTCTGGGGATAGAGGATGAGGTGACCCTGCCCCAGAGGTTTCCAGAGAGCTACCCCTGCACGGTGGCTGGAAGGGAGCCCAGTTAGGTGAAGCACACGGGAGTCAGACAAGAACGTAGGAGAATCTCCAGTTGAATCCTGAAAGGACCCGCACATCCTTTGCTCCATTTCTGTCCCTTCTCATCCCCCTCCCCTCAACACCTGCTCCCTCGGGGTCCAGCAAGCTCTCTAGGTCAGGGGTTGAGAGCAAGAAACAGGAAAATGTTCTTTTATTGTTGCATTCTTCCTTAGGTCAGGTACAATGCCTAGTTGGCTTCAAAAGCATTCTCCATTTCCTTTTGAAAATGGCCATTTTACTAATGCTTTAATAGGTGGTACATGTGTGTGGGTCAAAATACTAAAGATTCAAGAAGAGAGACAGTGAAAAATTAGACTCTCTTTTTCTGTCCCCAATATCCTATAAAAAGAAATTACTAGAGTTTTTGTTTTGTTTTTTTGCCAATCCTGGAACTCGAACTCAGTGCCTGGGCACTGTCCCTGAGCTTCCTTTTGCACAAGGCTAACAATCTACCACTTGAGCCACAGTACCACTTCCGGCTTTTTCTGTTTATGTGGTACTGAGGAATAGAACCCAGGGCTTCATTCATGCTAGACAAGCACTCTACCATTAAGCTATATTCCCAGCCCAGTTCCTAGAGTTTTGTGTGTACCCCCAGAAAGATCCTGCTAGCTCCTAGCATAGGAGAAGAAACTGAGGCTCTCAGAGATGTTAATTCCTTTGACCAACCAAGGTTACAAAGCTATAAATTGGTAAGCTGACATTTGGAACTAGCTCTAAAATCTCAGCATTGTTTAAAATCACCTATGCTCCAACCACTCACAAAAGCCCCTCTCAAACACTGGCTCTCACACTCCTCCATCTGAGGCTGGGAGACCTGCAGTCTCTGTAGGCTTGTGTGTTGTGTGTCTGGTTTCCTCCCAATGGCTCCAGGGGAGCTTGTATTGACTTATCCCCATACAGAAGAAGGGAAGTTCCCACAAGTGCCCTTCCTTGCCTAATGTGTGGCAGGTGGTTCCCCGGAGGCCAGTCCGATTCCTGGGATTCAGAGAGGTCTACAGAGGGAAGCCACGTGAGTGTGGGTCTTTAGCTAGAGGGGATCCTGGTTGTGGTTTCAATTATATTTCCTGAAAATGGCCTCATGGTTTCCCTGTGGCTGGGCAGGAGGAGGGAGGATGTGAAATGAAGGAGTTGTTCATGTGGTAGCCATATTATTGGTCATGAGCATGAGGGGAGGAGGCCACAGTCAGTTCTGGCTAGAAGTAAGGGATGGCATATGGCCAAGGCCCAGGTTTCCAGGCTCTTCCTCAAGCCTCTTTCACTCCTAGTTAGGCTAGGGTGGGCTGAGAGATGTCCCCACAGCGGTCATCTCTGCATCTCCACAAATCTCCCTGGGATCTTTCTGGATCCTAGCTGTCCAATTTCTTTCCAGCACTCTTTCTGTCTTGTATCTCCATATCTTAGAAGATTGTGGTCCCGAGGCCTGAAGAGCCTCTCATTTGAACTGTCAAGCAGAGAGAGGTGGGTGTTGGACCTTTCTTCCTCCCCAGGATGACAACTTTCTGTTTTGCTGAGGTTGCCACAGAACATTCTGCCCTTCATGTCTGTACACACAGGACTAGCTGGATGCATACAGATCAGTCAGAGATGGGTTATGATTTTCAGGAATAAAGTGTTCTACCTGCTTGGGGATTTAAACTGGCACTATTATGGAGGTGGTTCTTCAGTGGCCATGGAAACTTGAGTTGAGTCCTATACCTGTCAGTCTTAAAAAGACAGGTAGAAACCGTAGCTTTTACTAAAAACAACAATGATAATAATACTTAACTACATAGAGGGCTTCACAGTGTTTGAAGTGTGTCAATGTGTATTAACCCACTTGATTCTTATTATGTTATGGGCTAGCTGTTGCTACCTCAAAGAGATCAAAGTCAGATGCTCACAGTCACATGGCTGAAGAAATTGACAGTCTAGTTTTAGGCTCTACACTTACAAAAAAATTTTTTTGGTGCTGGTCCTGGGACTTAACTCACGGCCTGAGCACTATTCCTTAGTTCTTTTGCTCAAGGCAGCTCTATCATTTGAGCCACAGACCCACTTCCAGTTTTTTGGTGGTTAATTGGAGATAAGAGTCTTACAGACTTTTCTTCCCAGGCTGGCTTCAAGCCTCCACTCTTCTGTCTCAGCCTCTTGAGTAGCGTGGATCACAGACATGAGCCATCAAGACTGGCTCCTAAACCCTACACTCTTTTTTTTTTTAAATAAATTTTTTACTGAAATAAAGTGATTGCATAAATTTCACAAATTTCTCAGTATTGTGGGATAATGATACTTAATTAAAATCACAAACACATTTTAGCCTTCACAAGGCAAATTGTCTATAAAGTTTGTGAATTCTATGAGCTTTGACAATACAACTATTGACCCTACACTTTTAATGCCAACATAATCCTTATGGTTCCTTTCCATTCCCTAAGCAAACCATATTTATTGGGATCTATTCAGGGTGGGGGAATTGCAAAGTGGATGAATGTTGGGGTCGGGGGAAGACACATGTTAAGGAAAAAACTTCTTGATCACAGAGGTGCTGTAATAAAGACAAACAATGTGGGGTGGGATGTACATTCATGCTACTCAGAGCCAATGTCACAAATGGGCGAGCAGTGAGAGGACAGGGGGACAGTCCAGGCAGAGGGGACAGTGTGTGTTCTGCATGTATGAGTGCTTACAAGGAGAAATGTGGGACCAAGTGTCAAAATGCCACGATCACTGATTACCAGAGAGGTTGCCCGAAAGCCCAGAGCTGTGACTTCCATCCAAGCTTCTGCTCCAGACTCTAAGCTTCCTGCTCCTCTGAAAAGCATTGCATCAGGTGTGGGTCCAGCCATGGGGTCAGAAGCAATAGCCTGGGTAGGAAGAAAGGCTTTGTGATGAGCTATAGACCCAAAGACCATTGTGGCTGATATACTGGAGGTGAAGCAAGGCTTCTAAGAAGAGCTGCCAAAGGAGAATTATGGGAGAGCTCGAAACCATGGGTCATCTCTGGCTATGAGATTTTTTTTTTTTTCAATTGAACACCCTACAGAGGACTGTGTGACCCTGTGGGGCTGCGATGGGGTCCTTCTCTCTTTTGCCCCTGGAGCTGGTTTTCTGGAGCTCTGATATGCCTTGCTTCCTGCTGGCCCTTGGAAGGTTGCCAGGGAAACCACTGGCCAGCTCGGGAGATGGAGAGTGGGTGGTTCAGGCTGCCTTCTCCCACACGGCAGCCCCTCCCCACTGCAGGGGAAACGATCTCGGAGGCCCCCTGGGCACTGGGATCCGAAGGGGGGGGCTAGGCTTATTTCTTTTCTTGTCTGGATGCAACAGTCACTCCGGCATCCCTGCCTGGTGCAAACTAGCATGGTTTCCCGATTTCCCCTCCCGGGGAAACCGTTTCCCCTGTCCCCCACCCCCACCCCCCCTGCATTCACCCAGTGCAAGCTGCAGCTGGCCCTGGGCAAGTGCAAGCTCCAGCTGTGCCCATCCAGGCTTGGTGCCGAGCCGCCCTTTCAGGGAGCAAACCCGGGATAATTATTGATCCGACTGCCGTGGACTTATGACCTCGGGCAGCGAGGGAAAGGACCCAAATGAGGGGCCACGGCCTGGCCCGGCCGGGAGGGAGGTGGGCGGGTCGCAGGGCGGGGGCAAGCACCACGACCACCAGGCCCGTCCGAGCCCCGAGCCAAGCGAAGCAGCATGTGCTCGCCCTCTGGGGGCCCCGGCTGGGGAGCCGAAGCCGCGGGGAGTCGGGAGGAGCGCGCGGCGCAGGCCCGGCCGAGCGCGCCCCCACCCGGCTGGGCGCGCTGAGGGAGTTCCGGGTCCCCGCAGGGCAGCCGCGGAGGGGGCCCGGGCGACCCCAGGGCTCGGGCGTGCGCGCGCCGGGCGGAACCAGGAAGCGGGCGCGCTCGGGGCTGCGGGCGGTGCGCGTCCCCGGGCCTCCGTGCGCGAGCGGCGCGCGCGCCCCCGTGGGCCCCGGCGGGCGGAGGGAGAGTCGGCGGCCGGAGCCGTCACCCCAGGCGGGCGGGCAGGCAGGCGGGCGGGGACGGAGCTCGGGCGACGACGCGCGCGGCGGTCCGGCCGAGGGAGGGAGCGAGCAGGCGGGCGAGTGGGAGAGCGAGCGAGCGAGCGAGCGGGGCCGGAGCAGCCTCTGGCGCCCCAGGCGCCGACGAGGTAGGAGCTGAGCGGGGAGCCCCACGGGGCCCGGGGGGACTGGGGGAGCGAGGCCGGGGAGCCCGGGCCGGGTGGGGCCCCGCGCCTCTCCGGCCGCGGAGACTCCAGGCAGGGCCGCGCCGCCGCCATCGCTCCCGGGCCACGGGGTGGCTGCGCGCTGGGTGAGGGGCGCGTTGTGGGGAGGGTCGGGGCAGCCCGGGTGTCTGCAGTAGGGGGGCCTGGGGGGATAGTGGGGTGCAGAAGCGGGGGCGTGCAGACGCAGCGGCTGGGCGGAGGGCTCGGTGTGAACTGCGTGCGCGCGTGGCCGGGTGGGTGTGTGAGGGACCCCCGCGCCGAACGCCCCAGAGCCACCGGGCTGCCGTCGTCCACTTCGCACCTTCCGGATGCAATTTCCACGAGTCCCTGCTGTGGTCTTGCTTTCCCTCCTTTTATTATGATTAATTCCCTCCTGGAGAGGCTCCTGCGGGGGGGACAGGAGCCCGGGGAGTGCCCGATGGGGAGTTAGGGTGGTATTAACAAAGCTTCAAGAAATAGCGCCTTATAAGGAGTCAAGACAACAAATACGAACATTTTGATAAGACGCTGGGCTGCGGGATCCCACATCAGGACCCGCCAGGCCTGAGCTTGTACATGTGGCGGTGGGATGCGACTTGTTCTTTTCTTTTCTTTTTTTTTTTCCCCTTCCCCCTTTAGCCTAGGGATCAAGAGTAAAAAAAATGCCCCTGGTGTCGGGAGTAGATAGGGAGAGTCGGAAGAGGTGCCCTCTTATCACAAAAACTGGTCTGAGGCGCAAGGAATCTGGCAAGATGGTCAGGGTGATCGGAGAGGAAAGAACTTGTATGCAGACACTTGTAGCCAGCAGTGATGGCAAAGGCAAAGGAGGGAGGGAGGGAGGCGAGAGAGGGAGAGAGAGAGAGAGCCAACAAGAGCCAGCTTTTAGGAAGATAGAATTAATGAAAACACACACACACACACACACACAAAATTTTAAGAGCAAGGCCAGATAGATATTATTTTTCCCAAAAAGCAGTGCCCAGTTCTTGTTCTTGTCCCCTGGGATCCCTTCATCCTTACATCAAATACATTGTGGCCGAAAAAAGGATCATAGAATCTTCCAGTTGGCACTACCTCCCCCTCCCCCCAATCATGCTACATTCTTTTATTATACAAATAAGGAAACTGATATCCAGATGTATGGAATAAATGAATAAATGGTTTTGCTGCTTCAGATCACAGGGCTGTTTTGTTTAGTAGTTCAGAAACTAAAACTTCCATCCAAGGTCTCCATAGGGTTTTATCCAAAGCACAGGGAAATAAAGCCTATAGGTCTTGGCCTAAGTTCAATTCTACCTGTGGTCTCTGGAATGTTCTGGGGGGAGTGCCTCTAAAAGGGCTAGCATGTCACTAGCTAGTGTCTTGTATTTTCAGTCTTCTAGTGCCGTTTATCATGTGCCCGAATCTTAGGTTTCCAAAGTAGTTGGATAGCTGCCTGGCCTGTAATAAGCTTTCGGCTGTTTTTTTGTTGTATTATCTCAAATAATTTTGTTATGTTAAAGACAATTGATATTATTAAGATAACAGATCTTTGCCTCTTCCCCCCCCCCCACTCTGCCATAGTTCTTTTGTTTGTGTTATACTGTTTTATATATAATTCTTTGAGAGAATGTGTTTTGTTCAGTGTGACTTTTGTGTTTCTGTTTTTCTTTTTGTAAAAATAGAAACACTGGATTGGTTCTGATCATTTCAAACAGAAGTGGGGGGAGACATGCAATTGGCTTTGTTTTAAGATTTGGGCATTTTGTTTGTTTTGGTACCACTTTACATTTTGTGGAGCAGCACAGTTGTTAGAACTGCTTGTATTATAAGGGAGAAGGGGCAACTGATAGTAAGAAAAGTTTACTAAAGAGCATTTTATCCTTTTTCATGTTTAACTGGGTCTAGACAACCCTATGGACCTCTTGCCAAGTGTCATCTGGTAAATGATCTGTTTTCTATAGACTCTGGAAGAAGAACATTTCAAGCACTGGGTTGAGACACAGGGAAGAAATCAAGAGTTTTTGATGTTGTTTTTAAGAGCAAACCATCTGAGAAAGAAAGAAAGAAAAAAGTTGATTTCTATCACCAAGCAGTTTGGCTATTGCATAACTTGGAATTAACCCCCACAAAAATCTTTGCTGTATAGTCAACTTAAATATTATTACCTACCTTCTCACTAGTCCAGCACTTTTGAATTTACCTATTTTTTTTTAAAAGTAGATTGTGTTAAGCAGTTTAATGTCGATATGTTTCTTAGGTGTAGACTTATGATATGTATGATCATGGGGGGAAAAGTGCTCTCATTGTTTGGAGTGTTACAACATAAACATTTTGGCCAACACTTCCTATTGGGCTTCGACTTCTCATTTCACCTCCATTTTCTTGATTTTGTTTTTGTTTTATTTAGTTATGCAAAAGCCACATCAAGGTGTCACTTATTGCCTTTTGGTTATGCATTTCAGTTCTTTTTTTTTTTTCAAATTATGTTTTGAGTAATTAGATTATGTGTAATGTATGTTAGGCTGGTGTTTACGAATATGCTTGCCTTGGTTCCTTTGGCTTGTTACTAGGCAGACAGTGATACAAGAGGTCTTACTATAAAAGGCAAATGTTAGAAAAAGGCCAATAATGTGCCCAGGGTTAGATGCTAGTGACATCCAAGGAAGCTTCATGGTTCCAGTGCTCTACAAAGTGTGTGCATCACATAAAATCATTCACAGGCTTGTGAACATTCTGTCAGTCATGCATTTTCCCTCATCTGTTAGAATGTAGAACTGCCATCCTAGCCCTATAAAAGAAAGCATAAGAAATTTAAAATTTTCTGTTTTTTGTTTGGTTTTTCATTTGAAATTTATTTTTCTAACCTATTGAATTCTTCAAAATGAAAAAGAATTTCCTTTTATTATACAATACCTTTGGGGGAACTTTTTTTTTGGGTCCGGTCTTGGGGCCTGAACTCTGGGCCTGGGCGCTGTCCCTCAGCTCTTCAGCTCAAGGCTAGCACTCTACCACTTGAGCCACAATGCCACTTCCGGCTTTTTTCTTTTTGCTTATGTGGTGCTGAGGAATCGAACCCAGGGCCTCATGCATGCAAGGCAAGCACTCTACCACTGAGCCACCTTCCCAGCCCCACTTTTTTTTTTTTTTGGGCTGGTCCTGAGGCCTGAGCGCTGACCCTGAGCTCCTTTTGCTCAAGGCTGTCACCACTTCCAGCTTTTCCTGCGAGAGATAAGAGTCTCACAGACTTTCTTGCCTGGGCTGGCTTAGAACTGTGATCCTCAGATCTCAGCCTCCTGAGCCACCAGCGCCCAGTCTTGGGGGGAACTTCTTCACCAAAGTGATGCTTAAAAGTTAGCTCTAAAGTTGGGTGTGGTGATCCATGCTTGTCATTCCAACAACTTGGGAAGCCGAGGTGAGAAGTTCAGGCTGGAGGATCACAAATTCAAATCTGCACAAACCTATTTAGGGAGACCTTGTCTAAAAAGGGTTAGGGATGGAGGTTAGTGAGAGAGTACTCGCCTAGCATGTACATGGCCCTGGATTCAATATTTAATATCACCACCAAAAGACCCCAACCACCACATCAAAAAACCTCTAAAGTATCCCCAAATGTGCACAGTGTTCAAATAATTTTTTTGTTTGTTTGTTGTGGGGCCTGAACTCTGGGCCCGGTCACTGTCCCTCAGCTCTTCATTCAGCTCAAGGCTAGCACTCTACCACTTGAGCCATAGCACCACTTCTGTTTGGTTTTTTTTGCTTATGTGGTGCTGAGGAATCAAACCAGGGCCTCATGCACGCAAGGCAAGTGCTCTACCACTGAGCCACCTTTCCAGCCCTCAAAGGATTTTTTTTAATCCAAGTTTTATTAATAGAACTGTTCTAAAGTCAGAAGTATTTTCTCCCCCGCTAGTATTGTACACTCAACAGTTTTGTGCTTATTTCTGGGAATAAGAAAGTCAGATTTAACAATTTTGTTTCCACTGATCAGACAGGATATTTTGGGGTACACTTAAATCATAAACATCACAGCCAGTTTTTTTTCTTTAATTGTATTACTCTGAATCACAGTGACCTTATATGAGTAAAGTATTGACTTTGGATGGACTTAAGGATGGACTTAAGGATGATCCTTCGCTGCCAAACAAAACAAAACCTAAGCCAGTTTGAAAATTTTACATATTGAAATCTATGCCTTTTTCAGTGAAAAGAAGAGAGGAGTAATTTGTAGATGTCAGATTTTCCAATGAGACCCTTACTTTGGATAGTTTCAGGGTTTAAGGTAACGTTTTATTACCTTTTGTTCGTTTTGGTCACACCCAGGACTTCCTTGGAAGGTATCTTTGAGGTTTGGTTTCCTTTTATTTTAAAATGGTAATATTGGGGTAGGGGTGCTTCCTGTTTATATTTTCAAAATTAGGCCCACGTGTTAGCCTTCTGGTAGTGTCATATTTTTATTTGAAACATCCACAGACAAACATCAGATGCCATTTGCTTTGTCTTTCTTTGACCCATTGTAGTACTTCAAAATAACTTCAAGCAAAGCCCCACTATCCTGGTTGGCACAGCAAGTCATTCTCAGATCTTTTCCTGTCTCTCTTCAAAGTTTAGCTGTCTTGGAAGGAACCTTAAAACAATAACAAGAGTGATGGCACAATTGACAGAAAAATGGGGCCCTTGCTGCTGTCTGTTTCCTTCCAGATATGGCAGCGGTGCTAAGTTAAGGGTTGAACCAGATTCCCCAGAGCTTTGAATGTCGGCAGGCATCTTAAAGAGAATCTGTCAGGGCCTCAAAAGATGCAGAATCTCCTGTAGTAAGCTGGGACTGCAGCAGGTGTTCTGGCCTTACCTAAAAGCCATAGTGTCATTGAGGAGTTAAATAAGAACAAGAAGAAAATTAGGGAAGGTAGTAGAACTCAGGAGGAAACACCCTAGCCTTAAAGCTCTTCTTTGATCTTCCTGGAATA